GTGAATCTTAAGTACCTCCACAACTCCATCTGCAATTATATCTCTGACGAAATTGTACTTCGTAGCAATGTGCTTAGTTTTCTCTCTGTAGACAAAATTCCTCGCTAGGTAGATAGCACTTTGTGAGTCACAATTCACCTCAACGGGACCATTGCATATCATTAGCTCTTCACAAATCCCTTTTAACCAAATACCTTCTTTTACTGCATCTGACAACGCCATATACTCTGCTTCTGTGGTTGACAGGGCAACAACCTTCTGCAACGAAGATCTCCAGCTTACAGTGTTCCCACCAACTGTATAAACATAACCTGTGATCGATCTGCTTCTATCTCTGTCGGTGGCGTAGTCGGAATCACAGTATCCCCTGATGCTGAGATCTTTACCACTTCTGAAAGTTAAGTTTATCTTCAAAGCACCCCTTATATATTTCATAATCCATTTGACTGCTAACCAGTGCTCTCTTCCAGGTTTACTCATGTACCTACACACTAGACCAACCGCATACGCTAGATCAGGCCTGGAACCAACCATGGCATACATCAGGCTGCCAACTGCACTGGAGTAAGGTACACTCTCCATCTCTCTAGCTTCAACTTGCTCCTGGTCTTTAGGAATAGCTTGTAGTTTAAACTGTGACCCAAGTGGTGTACTCACCGCTTTGCAATCCCACATGCCAAAGGTCTTTAAGACTTTGGCAAGATATTCATTCTGAGACAACTGTAGGGTCCCTTTAACTCGATCTCTGATTATGTCCATCCCTAAGATCCTTCTTGCTTCCCCTAAGTCCTTCATCTCAAATTCTGAGCTCAACTCCTTCTTTAACTCGCATATTCTGTTCATCTCTCTTGAAGCAATTAACATGTCATCTACATACAGAAGTAGAAAGACCATGTTCTCAATCCGGGTTCCTTTTAGATAAACACACGGGTCATACTCACTTCGCAGATATCCCTTCTTAATCATGAAGGTGTGAAACCGGTAGTTCCATTCCCTTGGTGACTGTTTTAACCCGTAGAGCGACTTTCTTAATAAACACACCATCCTTTCCTTCCCTTTCTTTTCATATCCCTCTGGTTGCTCCATGTATACGCGTTCTTTCAAGATCCCATGTAAAAAAGCTGTCTTCACGTCAAGTTGTTCCAATTCCAAATTGTAATGAGCAACTGCTGATAGCAACAACCTTATGGAGACATGCTTGACAACTGGAGCAAAAACTTCATTATAGTCTATCCCTTCTGTTTGCGCATATCCTTTAGCCACTAACCGTGCCTTATGCCTTGGTTTCTCAACCCCTGGGATCCCTGGCTTGAACTTGTAGATCCACTTGCACCCTATAACTTTGTGACTCCTTGGCCTCTCTGTATAATCCCAAGTATGATTCTTGTCAAGAGATGCCATTTCCTCATCTGATGCCTCGCTCCATAATTTCCAATCCTTGCTGTCTCGCGCTTCCTTATAACTCCTAGGTTCCTCTAGCTCCAAGTCTTCTGCACTAGCAAGTGCATATGCTATGAAGTCAGCATCTTCAAACTTTGAGGGAGGCTTTATTGTTCTTCTTTCTCTGTCCCTCGCTAGAAGATAGGTTCCCAGATCCTGAACTTGTTCTTCAGACTCTTCATCTGATCCTTCTTCCTCTTGTGTATCATCTTGACTTGGTTCATGCGCCTGTTGTTGATCCTGATCCGTCTGAGGCAAATGTTCTGGACTTACTCCATCTGGATTTGAAGTCTCTCCTTCATAGTAGTCTTCCAAGTTGCTTTTAAAGGTTACTTTCTTTTGTTTCTTAGAGACCTCGTCTCCTTCGAGTACATCCTTCTCCTTTGATAAGTCCTTGAATAACTTTGACTCATCAAACACTACATCTTTACTTACCACCACCTTTTGCTCCTCAATAAGCCAGACCCTGTATCCTTTTACCCCTTGAGCATATCCCAAGAAAATTCCTTTACTAGCTCTCGGACTGGTTTTCTCTCTCACTTGATGAACGTATGCGACACATCCGAAGCATCGTAAGTGATCATAGCTTGGTCTACCTCCTGTCCACCTTTCCTCTGGGATCTCAAACTTTATGGAGGAATTTGGTGACCTGTTTATCAAGTAGACTGCAGTTGACGCTGCCTCTGCCCAGTAGCTTCCGTCTAATCCAGTCTCTACCAGCATTGACCTGACCTTGTCCATGATACTTCTGTTCATCCGCTCTGAGATTCCGTTTTGTTGAGGAGTATACGGGCACGTCTTGTGTCGCTTAATGCCTGACTCTCTACAAAGCTTGTCCATTTGTTGGTTACAAAACTCCAAGCCATTGTCGGTCCTCAAACACTTGACTCTCCTTCCTGTTTTATTCTCCACAAGCCGTTTCCAATCTGCAAAACAAGAAAACACTTCGTCTTTAGTGTTAAGGAAATAAATCCACACTTTCTTAGAATAATCATCTGTTAATGTGAGGAAGTAATGAGCCCCTGCTAAGCTCGGAATTGTGTTCGGTGATCCCCAGAGATCTGAGTGAATGTATTCCAGAACTCCCTTTGAGAAGTGCTTGGCCCTTGGGAAACTTTGTTTGTGTGCCTTTCCCATGGCACAGGCCTCGCAGAACTCGAGCTTTCCAATCTCATTTCTCTTCAAGTAGCCTTTTCTTGCAAGTGCTTCCATGGACCGTATGTTCATATGTGCTAATCTTGAGTGCCACTTCTTTGTGTGATCAACCATCTCTCGAGCTGTGTTTGCTTCCCCTTTCCGTACTGTCCCTTGGAGGTAGTATAGGCCATTTGCGTATTTCCCTGTCAGAACTTTTCTGTCTCCCTTGTAGAATTCCACTTGGTAGTCCTTTCCTTTGTAACTGCAACCTGATTGTTCTAACTGGCCATACGAAATGAGGTTTCTTCCCATCTCTGGCATGTACCTTACATCACTTAGAGTAACCTCAGTGCCATCGAAGTTATCTATAGTGATCTTTCCTTTCCCCCGTACCATACAGTAGGAATTGTTTCCCATTAGAACCTTGTTTCCGTCGAACTCGATAAAGTCTGATAGAAGGTCTCTTCTTGGGGTGATGTGAAACGTGCATCCTGAGTCGAGTACCCATTCATCCTCCGATGCCAACAGACTTGCGGTGAGGATCACTGGTCCTGGTAGCTTAGCTGCTACATTTGCTGAGTTGTTTCCAGTTTTCTTCCTCTCTGGGCAATCCCTTTTCCAGTGTGAATCACTTCCACATATCCAACAAGTCTTGTCTTGTTTTACTGGTTGCTTCCCCCTTGACTTTGATCTGAACCTCCCTCTAGACTTTCCCTGCCACTGCTTGTTGTTTCCTGTGTCACTCCTGTTAGCTGTTCTTCCTCTTGCTTCCGTATATAGCCCCTCTGAGTTTCTCCCCTTCGGAACTATTCCTTTTTGTTTCAATTCTGCCTCCTTGGAATAAGCTGAAGTCATAACCTCGCTAACAGTAAGAGTGTCTTTCCCTGTGCCGTACTGTAACGTGTGGACCAGTGGCTCATAAGCTTGAGGCAGTCCTGATAAGAGCTGTATGGCTTGATCTTCGTCTGAGATGGTCACCTTGATGCTTGCCAAATCGTCGATCAATTTTAAGAACATATCAAAGTTTTCTTCCATAGTCTTATCCTCTTCCATACGGTAACACGAGAACTTCTTCTTAAGGTAAATTCTGTTTGGGAGTGACTTTGTTTGATAATCCTTCTCCAATGCCTTCCACATTCCCAGTGCCGTTGTCTCATGCATAATCTTCCTCAAGATCACGTCACTGAGACATATACTGAGCAGACTCCTGACACGAAGATCCTTCTCAGCCTTCTTTGGCTGCTTCTTCTTATCTTCACTTGCTTCAGATTTCTCCTCATCATCTTGAGTAGATGATGTCTCCTCTTCTAGAGCCGAGAGCAATCCTTGAATCTCAAGTTGTGCTAACATCTTAAACTTCCATAGGCCGAAATCCCCCTTTCCGTCAAACTTTTCAATCTCAAATTTTCCCTTCGTAGGATCCATTGTTTGATTCTTGAACACTGGACGATGCTGTTACCTGCAGATAACAAACGCACAATCACCAGTATCGCAATACAACACAATATTCCTAATCTTGATTCTTATTCTATCTTCTTTGATTTCTGTGAGATAAAAGAAAAGAATCTATCGAGTAAAAGTATACTCCCTTTGAAGATTGAGATGATCCGTTGTGACGACTCCTTTCCGGTGATCTGATTCAACCACCACTTCCCCTTGTGCCTTAGCCTTAAGCTCTGATACCAATTGTTAAAGAACCTAATCGAATTTGATTCTCTCTCTCTCGTGAAACTCTCTGTAACTCACGAATCTCACTCTCTCTCAGGCTATCACACACACGATCAGATCGCGACTCCGATCGTCTATGTAATCTCTCAAGAACTTGTAGAAACGTAAGAGAAACAGAAAACGAAAGAAGCAACGAAGAACACAAGGCAAGTTTTAGAGTTCCTGGTCAAATGACACAGTACATCTCCTTCAGGGTCGGTACCTGGAATTCACTACTCTCTTTAGGCTTACAAAGTTTCTACAATGGATTCTCTAATCTCATCGTTTCTCTGGTTCAGGTACTTATACAACGAAGAAGGTTGTTACAGACGAAGCTATCCTCTGCAACTCTCCGCACAATAGCTTCAATACTCTATGGGCCATTCATTTAATTACCGAGGCCCATTAGAGACCTTCTCGTTTGACTTGAGCCAAGGCCCACCGGAACACACCAAAGACAAAACGACAACCACACTTCACAGAACATTCCATTCTTGTTTGCATTTGATTGATTGCTATGGAACTTGGTAAATCTCGATTCTACTCTTGCCATTGCTTTTCTCTTTCTAGATTCTCCGATTATTCTATAGCTGGAAGTGATTATCCAGACGCCATACCCAAACCTTCTTCTGTTTCTTGTGTCATCATCGATTGTTCTTTTTTATAATCTTGAAACAATGTTGTTGTGTGCATCATCTTCGTTTGAATCAGCTGCTATGTCTCTAGCTTCTTCACCACCAGTCTCCACATTTGCTGGTCACCGTACTACTCTCAGGTGATCTACTCATCTCTGGCTTTATTATAAGATGGGATCTTTTGTGGTAGAATATGTTTTTGTTATTTACGATCATCAGGTATTATGATCAACGTCGTCTTCCAAAGAAGATGAGGAAGAACCCTTCTGCATACCCTCTCTTTCTCAATCAGCTTAACGAAGGCTCACCAACACCCAAATCTTACAAAGAGGTTTACTTTGCAACAATGATTCCTCTTCTTGAATCAACACCCATATGAATATAAAATGACTCTGTTTTTCGTTTGGCATTTATAGCAGCAATAAGGGTTTATTACACTCATGTTTTGCTGTTTCTTGGGTTACAGGTCATTAAGCCCTTCCGCCAAATGTTTGCTCGTGAGATCTCTTCTCAATCCAAAGACTCTGATATTTCTATTGCTAAGGTTTATTTCTTTTAACGAGTTGCCAAGTTCTATTTTGTGGTGTAGTTTCTATTTTTGTCATATACCATTGAGAAGCTTTCTTTACTCATCTATTTTATGGAAATGGACTCACAGGTTCTCTTGTACATTGCTGCTGAAGATGAAGCCTTCTTGGCATTCAACCGGGAGATAGATGCTCTGTCTTTCATGAGAGAGAGGGGAAACATCCAAGACCAATCTGATCCGAGCGAGACTGATTCCGAGGAGCAGCTGTTGCAGGTAGCTGGAAAGAGTATACTCGAATGGCTGAGTGAACTAGATGCAATTTCAAAACAAGTAGAGTCAGAGTTAGTCTCACGAGGCATCAACAGCTGCCACTCTGTTCAAGTTCTCGAAGCTGTAAACACAGTTCTCTTCGATATGAGAGGCTTCAAGAGGACAACAACATGCTTGAACGAAGACCCCAAGTATTACTACCTTCACTCTGCACTTAACTCTAGATGCGGCACTGGTAAAAACATCCCCTCTCCCCCTTTAGCTTTTGTCTTTTGTCTCAGTTTTTGAACTGTCTCTAATCTTATCTTTTTTTCATGTGCAGCGTTCTTGTTTAGTGTAATATACATCGAAGTTTGTCAGCGCCTAGGTGTGCCTATTGTGGGAGCTAGAGTTGGGGAAGACTTTTTGGTTTGGCCTAAGACTGAGAATCCTGAAGAACTCTTTGAAGTAGTAACTTCAGGGAAGAGCTTGTTTGCTGTTGTCAATGGAAAGTGCGTTGATGATTCAGATTCAATGGCATCAGATTTAACCGGAAAGTCACTTCAGGATCTTGATGTTGTAACTAACAGAGACATTATAGGGATTGCTCTCGCCAACTTGATTGTAAGTCCCTATCACACCTATAGACTAAACTGCACATATTCTTTAACTTCAGAAGATTGATTTCTGATTCTATTGTGTTGGCTTGTTGGTTTGTTTTCTCAGAGGGTTCACTGGAGACGTGCTTCGAAGCCATCACCTGGTGGAGTAATGCTGACTTCTCCTCTTAGTGAACGTAACAACCTCAGGATTTCTAATTTTCCATTGTTGCGGCCTCAAGATCTTAGGTACAAGAAGCTTCTCCTCTATGGAGTTTAAGAAGGGAATCTTATGGTTAATCAATCTAACATTCGGTTTGTGGTGATGAGAGAAGGTTGGCTATTGCTGCTGCTGAAAGGCTGTTGATTTTGGAACCTAATAACTGGCGACTTCGAAGAGACCTTGGCATGATGCACTACTACGTCAGGTAAACACACCTTCTAAGACAATAGAATTAGTTGCTTGTTTTGTTGGTTTAGTTTGTTCTGATGGAATGGTGAATTGTTGGAGCAGGCAATGTAGAGAGGCGATTCAAGAGCTGAGCATATGCATAGCCTTTGTAATTGACGAAGAAGAATCAAAAGAGTTGACGCTTTTTGTTGAGAAACTTCATCGTCTCTTTTCATTGATGTCGTCTCCCTTAGACTCTTCTGATCGCTTGGCCGTTCATTGAAAACTCTCTCTCTACTCCACTTGTAAATACTCTCTTTCTCTGCTGTATTTGGGAAAAAAAAGACAATTTGTGGGAGACATGTAACTTTTTGTTGTGTGTAACTCTTACTTTCTTCTGATCAGAGTAATAAATACGTGATTTCCCCATGAATCTATTTCTTTTCCCTGCTTTTCAAAGTTTGTTGTTATATCCACTTGGGAGAAACACACAGATTTGATCTCTTAACGCTTTTATTGAGAAATCATAAAGACATAAAATGTTAAAAACAAACGAAGCTAAGGCTTTACTGTGTCTAAAAAGTGAGAGATATGACTTTCTAAAGAATCTTGACATGCAATTGCTGACACGTGATAAAACAAATATAACCTCCACGTATGCAAAACTTTCTACTTAAGGTTGCCGTTCTCTCTCTCAGCTTTTGAACCTCCTTTACATTCTTAGGTGGAGGGATTGCATGAATGGTTTTGACCTGTTTCGGATTCACCTCGATACCCCGATGGATCACTATGTATCTTAGGAATTATCCAGAGTTAATTCCAAAGAAACATTTCGCGGGTTCATTTTCATGTTGTATCTTGGGAGGGTGGAGAAAATTTGCAGCAGTGTGATATATGATCCTTGATTTTTAAGGATTTTGTCAAGTTTCCGATCCTGGGTAGGATCATCAGAATGGACCATTGCGCAAGGAGACACACCAAGCAGATCGTATGACCTAAAGACAAGTATATCATGGTCCAGAAAATTGAGACTTAGCCAAATAAGAAAGGAAATGGAGTCAAAGGAGCTACACGGGTAAAAAGGTAGCTGAACGAGGTAAGACTCAGCTTTGGCCAGCTCACACCGAGTAGAGTCAGATCCCTAAGCTGGACTACTAGCTCACTCAGCTGGACCAACTGGGGATCTGCTCATCTCAGCTGGATGGAGTGTTCGGGTCCGGGCTGTGGTTGGTCAGCTGGTTGGGTCTTAGTGTCCAACCATTGGGCTGATGGCTTGGGCAGCCCATAGGCACGGTCCTTGTGCCAGGAAAGGCTCAGGCCCATGTCTGATCTGCCGAAGGAAGTTATAGGCAAATGGATGCAAGTGGTAAATGCTTTGAGGCGAAAGGATGCGATGGGACCAAGTGGTGCTCACTCGCCCACTATTGGTGCGACCCAGGGAGAAATCTTATTAATACATGGGGTATATGATAAGACTTGATGGAGGCGTGCTTTGGAGAAGCATGGCCGGACATGATGCTGGAAGGCACAAGATCTAATAAGATCAAATATAAGGTAACATGTTTATGTTTAAATTCTTGGTTCATATTTATGTCTCATAACCTAAGTCAAAATCTATGTGTTCTGATGATGGAATTAGATCATATTAGATGGATTAGGATTTGTGGGGATTATTGGAACAAACTAGACTAGATTTGGAGTTGTTTTGGCTTATTTCCATATTTAGGGTTCATGGTTGTTTTCGTCGGATTCATAGGTCAGCGATTTTTCCTATAGAATCTGACCATGGATTACTTCTAATGGGTATTTATCAGAGTGTGTGGTGAATTTTATTTAGTTTTTAGATCACTTTTGAAAAGGATCAGATTTGGGCATAAACTAATTCTAGGTGAACCAAACCATGAAATTGCTAGAACCGTGTGCTAGGTTGTCGGATTAATATGTATTGATTGGGCTTGTGTGGTTTTAGAGCATGTTTTACTTGTTGTCATAACTATACCTGGAAGTAAGGCTAGTACTGGGTGGTGTGGACCACAAGTATGGAGCTGATTGTGATTATGCAGGGAAGGTCGTGTGTGTGATCTAGTCATGGGTAAAGAAGGACGACCTGGTCCATGGATGATGGATCAAGGTGTCTGCTCTGTTTGATCAAAGGATGCACAAAATAGGAGGATGACCTGGATTTTTTTTTAAAAAAACAGGAAAAAACAAAACAAAAGTCTATAAGTTGTGAATAAAAACTCCCAATAATTTAAAAAAAAAACTGCCAATAGTGGGACACAAAGAGAAAAGTGAAACCTCAGGTACTGTCAGGAGGGTTTGCTTCCACTGATAATTGGCCTTACAGCCAGTTGGTTCCTCTAGTGGCCACATGATTGATACACATGAACATGATACTACAGATTTTTTGTGTGAGGCAGGCCACGATGATCTACAACGGTTCAAGGGCTGCATCAAATGTGTGATACATGGTAGAAATCCTTTTTTATGTGTCAAGAATTTTTTTTAAAAATATTATGTTAGTGTCAAAAAGACATCATGCGTCTAGCTTACTCGGGCTCTAGAGATATCCAACTGTGACACATACAATCATAGAGACATGTGACGTTCGGTCAATTGCCAACTTAGACAAACCAAAATCTGAAACATTCGCCTTCACGTGTTTATCAAGTAATATTTTACTTGTCTTAAAAGATCATAGTGTCTGACTGGTAGAACAGACCATGTCTGAAAATACTCGAATACTACACAAAACAATCATAAACCAATAAAATCAGATATCTCAAAATGCCAAAAAAATAGATTAAAACACTTTTTGTTTTTTAATAAGGTTCACCCGACCACTGGCTGCATCTTCAGCTATTTCTTGCCGCTTAACCAAGTAAGAGGCTTTAGAGAATGCATCCATAGCCTTTTTTAACTCCTCTTGGGGCTGCATATCTCTAGGATTTGTTCTCACCCCAAACAAACTAGATGCATATCTTCATAATTCTCCATATAAGAGTTGTGGACTTGTGATGTACGTTAGATAACAGGTCTTGATCCGAAAATGTCAGGTAAATATGAGTATGTACCTTTTCGTTGCTCAAGAGGGTCGAAATGTAGAGGCATAAAACTGTAGCAGATAATGTTACATGTTCTCCTTGTAAGCTTTATTTGATGAATACAGTTGGTGACATGTATATAAAAAAAGGTTTAATGAAAGGATGAGATTCTCATCTAATATGATCCAAAACACTAATGATAGCAAGTAGCAGACTGTATTTCAAAGAGTAGGAACAAAAAAAATATTTCACTTGCTTACTACTTCGTGATACTCAAGGTTCCCCAATAAATCTATGTTTTGATGAGGAGAAGAGTACAAGTTTACATTATATTATTCATATGTACGACCAAACGTACCTTGTTGAAACTCATCTGAAACGTATAGATGAATGAATTCCCATTTTTTACTTCTGAGCCACCTCTAAATTGAAGAGAGGAAGAAGGTTAAGCACATATTCGTAAGCACTGCAAAAGATAAATTAAAAAACTTATAAATGAACTCAAATCATAACATTTGATTTTGATCACAAATCTGCACTTTCACTCATAGATATTTTGCGTCTGCTGGAGCTGCTTTCTCTGAGCTGTTATGATTTAACGCTCCAGAGTTCCTCTCTGAAATACAAAACACATTGTCATGATTATGAATAAGTGAAACGATCTGGTTTCCCAAATTCTTCACACAGAAACCAATCAGGTGGATTGGTGCTTCTCTGTTTTAGATTTTAATGGTTTTCTTGCAAAGCAAAACAGAGAAACATTAATAAGAAGAAGAAATTAAGACTCTGAAGGGGAGTAGAATTACCTTTCCATCAACCAGAACTGTATCAACACTATCAGCTCTCCACTTTCTTAACATTGTGTCCCGGTCCTGATGGTTTTACTTCTGAATTCTTCAGGAATTCTTGACCAGTAATTGGAGATGATGTAAAAGTGGCGGTACAATCATTCTTCCTTAAAGGTTTCTTGCCAAAGGGTTTGAATTCTACTATTCTTGCCCTAATTCCGAAGAAAGAGGAAGCAAAAGAGATGAAGGATTATAGGTATATTTCCTGTTGCAATGTGTTATACAAGGTAATTTCTAAGCTTCTTGCAAATAGATTGAAGACCATTTTGCCGGAATGTGTATCTGTGAACCATTCGGCTTTCATTAAAGAGAGATTACTAATGGAGAATATCCTTCTAGCTACAGATCTTGTTAAAGACTACCATAAAGAGGCTATTTCTTCTAGATGTGCCATGAAGATAGATATATCAAAAGCTTTTGATTCTGTGCAGTGGAATTTCCTTATCAACACTCAGAAAGCGTTGGGTCTCCCGGAGAAATTCATTCACTGGATTACTTTGTGTGTCACTACTGCTTCTTTCTCTGTGCAGATAAATGGTGAACTTGCAGGTTATTTCCAAAGTAAAAGAGGGTTAAGGCAGGGTTGTTCTTTATCTCCTTATCTTTTGTCATCAGTATGAATGTCCTGTCAAAGTTGTTGGATGAAGCAGCAAAGAATGGTAAAATAGGATACCACCCGAGATGCAAGAATATTGATCTAACACATCTGTGTTTCGCAGATGACTTGATGGTTTTAACTGATGATACAAAGAGGTTAGTGGAGGGGATTCTGGAAGTGTTTGAGGTTTTTGATAAGATGCCTGGTTTGAAGATCAGTTTAGAGAAGTCTACACTGTTCATGGCTGGTTTGTCTCATCAGAAGCAAGATTGGTGGGACAATAAACCATAAGGACAATAAACCAGACTTAAATAACACTGTGACCAATGTTATACAGCCTAAGATTGGTGGGACAATAAACCATAAGGACAATTTTTAACAAGTTTTCGCGAGTATACCTGCCATTGATGTGAGTATCGATCAACACAGTTAAGTGGCGATCACTACTTATGATGTTCTGTCGAGCGATGCTAGCTAGTCATCGTCGATTCTTAGGCAAACTCATCTTCCTTGGATCTTTTTTTTTTTTTTTAGTCTGCAAGAAATTAAAACTAGAATCAGTAACAATCTAAATTAAAAGAACCTAATAGTGGGTTGCCTCCCACTCAGCGCTGTGTTATAGTCATTTAGCTTGACTTTTGGAGATCTGATTTAGTCCGGGTGAAGATGTGAACTTTCTCCAGAACAAGTCTCAGTGTCTCTCTTCCTCATTTTGTTGATGTAGTTGGTAAAAGCTCTGGCAGATACTTCTCCTTTATCTCTTAGCTCTGGATCACATAGCACTCTAACCTTG